TATGAATCGGGTCGTGCTGCTGGCAGGAATGAGGCAGAAAATAGATGTTACATGGACTCTTCCTACTTGTTGTAAAATTTCCTCTGAAACCTGTACATGAGGGGTGTATCTTAAAGGTAATACGCAAAAGCAACACGGAAGTCTGATACCTAAATAAATGATGAACTTCACCAAGTTTTTCTCTCCGCTCCGAAGACCTCATCCCTTTTGATCCTCGTGGCTTTCAGCGATTGCTTCCTCTTGGCTCCCCAGCTCTCCTTTGTCTCGTTAGACGGAGACTGCGGCGAGGTCACCACGCTTGGCCTCAATCCAGTCTGTGATGTATCTAGCTGAAAAATTGGCATTTTGCAGCTTCCCAAGGTTCACTCCAGCTTTTTTTTTTTTTTTTTTTTTTGTATTTTTTTGTGTGTTGTTCTTTTGTGTGCTGTTTTGAAGCGCGCTGCAAACCTGTGTGTCATTTAGATTCTGGAGCGGTAGATACTTTCATTAAAGAGCGATCAGGTTTGTTTGACATCAGCTGCCTCTCAGAAATCCTGCCTGAGTCTCATTTGCAGTCACCATTTTTGCGCACAGATGCCCGAACCAAATAATCCAGGTCCATGTCAGGCATTGTTTTACTGCTACGACCTCGTGCTGTAGTCCTGAGAGAAATGACGGCGAAGAACTCTGTTAAAACCAGTGCCGTGCCGGATTGAACAGGGATGCAGAACCCCGTGATGCCCTCCCTCTGCGCGTACGTGCGTGCCTGATCGTTTTCCTGGGAACAATTTTCTTCTCTCTGCGTGTTCAGACCTGCACAAAAGCACCTCCTGGACGTCTTTCTGAAGACCTTGCAGTTGAGAGGTTGAGAAGAGGGGTATGGAAAGTTGGAGCTAACAGCCCCCCCAGGCTGGCTCACTGGCTTTATTCCCTTCCCAGCATCTGCAGTACGGTTGCCCTGGAAATTCCTGCCTTCGTGATCCCCCTTTGTCTGGCGGTTCCTGCAGTGGGGTTGCTGTAGCAGTTCCCGCCTCTTGGATACGTGAGGCTGAGGTTCCTCGTGCGGGAATTTGTGTGGGTTTGGTTCCTCCTTCCCTGACTTGTTTGAGCAGCTGCACGTCCTTGTTGGCCGCTTGCACGGATGCCCTGTCGATACGGGTGGTTGGGTATGACTGTTGTGCATGTGTGGAAATACACTAATGTGTGGTTGATTTCTCATTTTTATGCTAAATTCCGTGGTTCTAAAAATCTAACCCTAAATGACTTCCTACTACCGTAACGCGAAGTTGAGGCAGAGTCAGATACAAAACGTAGCCCGTGGTTTAAGCTCAGGACTGTTTATCTTCTCTGTAGAGAAGATGGTAGCTTGACTTGTGGTTGTGGTAGGTCAGTATTTGGTGGTGAAACCTTTGTGGTAAGAGAGAACAAACGATAAACTCGCTGACCTACTCCCTAGGCTGCCTATTTATTTTACCCAACTTCAGATGTTTAACTGAGTCACCTGAGTTTGAGGCGTATCAGCCCATGTTCCTTCTGTAGTCCATCAAGCAGGAAAAGGCAAGAGCAAGGATAGTTCAGCCCATTCAACAGCTCCATCGCCTGATTTTTTTCTCCCCGTTGACCACGGTGGATGTCCGTAGCTGTAACTTAGCCACCGTGTGCGTTGTTACGCATCAGGGTTCGCAGTTCCAGAGGTGATTATGGAATTCCAAACATCTTTGCACCTTCAGTCTGCTGCTAATGATCGACCAGAAATGCTTTCTGTGTAGTACCTCCTGGTTTTGGATGGAAGTCAGATATCGAAGTCTCTTTAGAAATCCTATTAGACACTTCACTGCACCTTCGTAATCCTAAATACTTTTAAAACCCCACTTGGAAGTACAAGGCTTGGAAGCGATGGGCAATCTCCTTAAGCAGATCACCCGTAGGGGGAGGATGGAGTCCTACATGCTCACAGAGTGGCCTGCTTTTTAATTCCTTTCCTCTTGATAATGCAAGTGTAACACCGGTACACACAAGTCTACGGCAGCTTTGCATCACATTTCAGGTACTTAATTGATTACTTCCTTCAAGCAAAACTTTTTTAATGACTGAATCAGGCTGTACCTGAGCTGTTACAGCACTTGTCTGAGCAGTACACTTCAGCTACTGAATAAATCACTTCAAAAACATGAAGAAAACTGCTCAGTCTTTCATAATGGTGATGGAGAACTTTATTCTGTGTGGTGATCATCTTGAATACGACTGTATAGAGGGAACACTTGTACTCTAGAATGAATTAAATGGAGTGATTTTCTCATGACTGAGTGGTCACATTGCCTCGGAGACACTCTCCACAGGTGCAGAAGAATATAAGAATATCCAGAGACTTCAGCTTTGTCAGTGAAGAATTTGTTGCATTTTCTTTCTGCGGTGTATGAAATATATTTGATGTCAGTCTCATAAATTCAGGAGCAAGCACCCCCTGCTCTCATTCAGCCTTTTCTGTGGCGAAGAAATCAGCGCTTGACTGACTCTCAAATGAATAATTCTAAGAAGGAGACCCACTTCTAGTGAGCCACTTAATTTTCTTTTCTTTTCTTTTTTTTAATATTTTTTAATCCTTTGCTTGTGATGATAAATGGCAGGGTTGTTGGCTGATTAATGTTGGTTTTAACAATATTGGGAAATTCACAGCTGCCAGTGCTGATCTTTTACGCGTAAGAAGTAACGATTTCTGTACTGATCCAACTCAGAAGGCATTAAATGCAGTAATGAACTGGCTGGGCTCATCTCCATGGAGCTTTGTCTTAAAGCTTACTC